ATAATCAATATAAACTCTTAGACTTCAACTGGACCCAAATTTCCTTTCTAGCCTCATCAATATTCTCCTTCCTATGCTCCTACCACAAAGATCTGTGATACCCCAGCCTTCTTTAGAACCCAGCATTTGGATCCACTGTTTTTGCTGCTTGAGAACATTCTTTCCCTATTCTTTACTAACAAACTCCTACTCATCTTTCAAGGCCCAAATGATTTATTGTCTTCTCTGTGAAGCCTTTTCTGACTCATTAAGGCAGAGCAGCTTCTTATAATAGTATTAACCGCATTGCACAGTAATCTACTCTTTACTTGCCCAACCCCCCTAACCCTGACACCCCACTATCCTGGGAGATCCTCATCTTTTCTGGGTTTATCATAGGATGTACTTAGCATAATGCTAGCAGAAGCTACTACACTCCTAATAGAAGGTCAACAAATGAATGAGTTCTTCTTTGTCCTTCTAAAAAGCAAATGCTTTATAACTCAAAATTAATGTTTGAGTGGACTATTTTTCTTTTTGTATTTAGGTTTTATGAACTCTTCTTGTAAGACTTTGTTGATTCTTTGTGGATGAACTTTGCTCACTTAATTCTATTAATTGCCTATGTACAAAATACCTTTCTACAATTTTTCCTTAAAAATTCTTTCCCGTCCTGCTGATGAGTCAGTAGCTGAAGTATCAGGAAGTGATCTTTAAATATCTTTTAAATACCTATAATTATACAGAGCAAACCCACATACCCGTCTCTGACCCCATACTCTAGACTTTGGTTCCTCTCCTCCTGATTTTCAATTTAAGAAGGAAAATGTAGAATGACTTGGGGTGGAGATGGAAAAAAGCAAACAAAAGTGAATTGCTCTCCTTTCTCAAATTTGTAAAAAATGTAAAGCTAGAAGGAATGTTAACAATTACCTAGGCCAAATCCTTGGGGTTTTTTTTGGTTTTTTTTTAATGGGTGCAGGGGGTGTGGAGTGGAAATAGGACCAGAAGTCTGAAGGTTCTAAGGTTGCAAAGTGAATTAATGGCAGTCAGACTAGAACACAATTCCTGAGTCCACTAGTTGTGTTCTTTCTTTTACTTCATACTAACTACTCATGAAAAATGCAGTTTTTTTTTTAAAGTGTATCAAATATGGTTTGGGATCTCCAACCTTCTGTTTCATTATATGTAAAGTAGGGATAATAATAGTAGCAATCTCATGGATTTATTGTGAGAATTAAATGAATTAATAGATACAAAATGCTGAAAATAGTACCTGTCCATAGTCAGTGACTAGAATCTATTGTTGTTTGTTCTTTTTTTTTTTTAAAGATTTTATTGGGGAATTGGGGGAGGGGAACAGCACTGGGGAATTGGGGAAGGGGAACAGACAAGTTGCTGTCCTTTTGTTCTTCATTCTAGTTGTGGAGGACGTTGCTTCACTGGCCCATGTTGGTATTATCATTGCGCTCTTCCCGGGTGAGGCAGATCGGTTGCCGGCCTTTGGGCGGCCGCTCACGGCAGCTCTTGGCAGCTCACACAGGCTGCCAGCCGCTCACGCTGGCTGCCAGCCACACATGGTAGCTTATGGCAGCCCACTGCAGGAGGGGCTGCAGCCTACACCTTCGCTGGCAACTCACGGCAGCCCAGCTCCAGGTTGAGCTGTTGTTCAGCATCTTAGCTGTAGAGGGCAGCGTCACTGGCCCTCATATGTGGGGTCCGAACCAGGGCCCTGCTCTTAACCAACGCGCCAGTCAGCTGGCCCCACATTTTTTTTTTTTTTTTAGCTGAGCCATCGTGCCACCTGTTGGCAGCTCAGCGGCAACTCAGCTTGGGCTGGGCACTGAACCACTGTTGCTCAGAGCTCAAACTCTTGAGCGAGCTCTTAACCAACTGAGCCACTCAGCTGGCCCTGTTTGTTCTTATTTAAGGCCCAGGCCACTATACTCTTGATTACTGAAGAACTTATTTGCTCATTTTTTAAATTTTAAAATTTAATTTTAAATTTTCCAAAGTTATTATTTTTTGGTCCCTATTCACACCATACTACAAACACAAAGAAAGTCCATGGGCTGATCTTGGTGTATGAAACCAGCATCTGCACTTTTTAGTCGTAGGATCCTGCATAACTTTCTGAACTTCTCTAAGCTTCAGTTCCTCATCTGTAGGAGAGAGTAAAATAACATCTAATTCCTTTTAAGAGTTGTGAGGCTTAAATGGGAAGACATGTGCTAAGTGTCTAGCCTAGTGTCAATGTTTGGTGCCTCCTTTCCCCACGTCTGAAAGTATCAACAGGTGTTATAGGGTCCATATTGAAATGTACTTCATCGACGCCAGGTCTAAAAGGGTCTATTTAGAATCCAGCCATCGAATGCATTGGCCAATGAAACAATGACATGGCCTTTTGAAGATTAAATGTAGCAATGATCTGCTGCACACGGATGTAGTTCTCCAAAGAGAAGCTTGTCTTTGGACACATTGTAAGGCTCCTGTACTTTTGCCATACCCAGGTACAAGCTGTGCTAGTATATAGTTACGTTTTTGAAAACATAAATGGGCTTTTTATTGAAATCTATGTTAGAAGGAAACTTTATTATATTACAACTTGTGCTAGTTCATTTTCCTAATACACTTGACCATTGAACAACATGGGGGTTAGGGGCGCTGACTCCCCCTCCCCATCAGCAGTTGAAAATCTGTGTATAACTTCACTGCCTCAAACTTAGTAGTTTTCCTCAGAATCTAGGAAATTGGTTCTAGGCCACACCCCAGCTCTCCCTACCCCCTTAACCCCACCCCACTGCCTGTGGATAGCAAAGTCGCAGACGCTCATGTCCCCTATATAAAGTGTAGATGAGTGCATACAGTCAGCCCTGCACATCTGCAGAATCCCAACTGCTGATCTAACAGTTCAGGTATTTATTAAAAAAAAAAATCCTCATGGAAGTGGACCTATGAAGTTCAAAACCATGTTGTCAGTGCCTGGCACAGAGCAGGTACCGCTGGTCACATTTGTTCAGTGAGTTACTGCCTTAGGCCTTTCCCCAGCGTACCAACTTGTAGATCCAGTGTCCTTGTGATGTCATATGGTTAATGTCCTATGTCAAGATTTCAATTACTTGCTTTCATAATTGAATAGATTATCTAGGAGGATTTATAGGATATATAGCAATGTTTCATATGTAAAATTGTCACTGATACCTAAAACTTTACTATTAACTTCTTCTCTTGTGCTGAGCATTGCTCTCTCCACAGTTCTGGTTTGTAGGGCCAATTGTCTTGTCAAGACTAAGATATTAATTAAGTCATTAGCATTTTAGGTTGAACTTATTTGGACCGTATTTTCCTCCAGGGAAGAGAAAGTATTGGTTTCCTAAAAAATTGATAGTTGCAGTGAGGGTTCCTAAGACCAACCGTATGTGTTTGCCCAGGGTTGGCCTACAGTTAAACAGCCTTTAATAGACATAAATGACTCAGATAAGGAGACAGTAATTAGAACAAGAAAAGCGCTCATCTGAAGGCAAAGGTTACTTGCTGCACACAGCGGTAAAGGTCCCGGGACGTAGTAGCAAGTAGGGCCGTGCTCTGAAAACCAGCTAAAGGCAATAGTCACACCAGGTTTTGCGAAGATGGCTAGAGCTAATGGGGGGACCAGGTTCTACAAATGTCAGAGCTGAAAGCCAAAAGTTTGTAAACTTAGGCATAGGGAGGGAAGGAGGGGGAAATACTCAAGACTGTCTACCTAGCCACAAATAAGGCAGCTTATAGAGAATATCTATATGTATATGTGCAATTGCTCCTCTTGCCAATGAAAATTGGCTGCCCATATCCATGAGAGCTGAAAGGCCATATTACATGAATCCCCACACTAAGCTCCCACCGTTACCTGCAGGTTTGAGTAACATTAAGGAAGTACATAAAGGAAGTATAACATTTTATCTGCCATGTTTCCTTACATAGTCTACCCTTTTCAGCCTCATCACCTTCCCCCCTTCACCTTGTTTTAAACTCAGTGCTACCCAATCCCATCTACCATCCTCAATACAACTTGTGACGGCCACTGAAAGTCACAAGAACTTCTAGTAATTTGGGCTGTACCAGTGAAAGTGCTTGTCAGTTGCTGCCTGTTTTTTATGACCAAAGTGTCTAAATTCTTCAGTCCTTTCCTAAAAAGGGTTGAGTGATTCTCTTTTGCTCCTACTCTTTGTAGTGTGTGAGTACTGGTTCTCAGAAGCAGGGGCCATCTCTGCAGCTGCCTGGTCTATAACCAGGGTACTCATTGGCTGTTTTTCCCTTTTTGGATGAAGTTCTCTTTTCTTCATCTCCGGGAATCCCAGCCCTGGGCACAAGGAACCAGGAGGAGGCAGGGTACCCTTGGCAAACACTTGCTGAATATGAGTCATTTCAAGTCTAATGACCCTTCCATTTGTTATCTGTTTCCATGGTCACGGCTGGGTCTCAGGATAGGAAACAGTCTGCCTCACATTGGGAATCCTTAGGTCACGCCTCCTTAACAACCTCCACGGACTTCCTGTTGCTCACAGGATAAACAAGTAGTATGGGAGATGCTCTGCACACTAGCGTTGAGCCCATTTTTCTCCTCCTCCTGTCATTTCCTCCCAAGACTTCATTCCTAATGCTTATAGGGTTTCTTCTATTAAGACCCAGCTCAAACATCACCTCCCCAGGAAGCCTTCTCAGCCTTCATTAATGTGGAGCCCTTTCCTCTGGGCTCTCACAGCACTGTGTACACCTAAGTTACGGTACTTCTCACATGGTGACATATTCATTAGTTTATATCTCTGTCATTTTCACCCTCCTCCCTCTAGACTGCAAGCTTCTTATGGGCTGGTGTGGCTTATTTGAGTGTCATCAGAGACTGATTTCAACGCCTGGCTCTCAGCAGTGCTCAGAAAATGTTAACTGAATGACTGAAGGAATGAAAAGGGGAAGAAAACTGATCTTCTTTTAATGTGTTGAGCAAAATATGGGTAGGATGACACAATGAGGCACTGACCCAGTAAAGAGAGCAATGGTGCTTTAATGAAACTTCTTTCAAATCTGTGAACATGTTAGCTGTGAAGTAAATGCTTTGATTCTTTCCATAGGATGGATTTCCAAACAATGATCACAGTGTTGAGGTTAATAAGATGCTGGACAGAGGAGTAGCCAAAGAATGTTATAAAATAACAAAATCCCATCAACTATATATATCAAATGCAAATTTACTGAGACATCAAGAGAAGATAAGTTTATAGTTACAGGGCTAAAAACAAGACATTATTACAGTAATCAAGTCCATAAAACTAGGGAAAAAAGCTGTATGACAAAAGGACTTTCATAAGCTAATCAATGAGCATACACGATAGACAAACCAATTTTATATTTGAAGCAGCTTATAGCACCAACACGTTGGCAGGACCACTAGAAGGGTAGACCATTGGACCGAGACATCTGAGAGCAGGAAGGGATCTCAGCCACCACCTACTTCAAGCCCCTGTTTTACAGATGGTGAAATGGAGGCCCAGAGAGATGAAAGGACTTATCCAAAATCACACAACACAAGGACACAGGATTGGCTAGAAGACAATCCAGGCCACCCAACTTTAGGTAAGTGCTCTATTTTAATAAACATATAATTCTATTTGATTCAATGTACTTTTTTTCTATTCACAGATATATACCATAAAATAAATCAATACAATTCATAACACACTCTATTATATTTATTTTATTGAGAAAGGACTAACATGTAATGTAATTCACTTCGTGGGGCTATATAGATCTTAATCAAAATTTGTAGTAATCACTCAGATGACACTATGTTAGCTGTAAATCGATTCAGAAGAAGGCATCTGAAGAGAAAGTTTGGCACATCCTCCATTACCTATACTAACCTATGCCTCAAAATTACTAAGTCATTGGTAGATATTTTTTTCTGATAGTTTAAAGATTAGTAAAGTACAAAAATAGTCCAAACAGAGAGAAAGCAAATCAGATTCTTCCCTTAAAAGATTAAGTGTGGTGCTTTTTATTTTAGTAAGGTAAGGAAATGTAAAAACCTGATTCTTTTTAGAAAAAAAGTAGTTACAACCTCTAACTTGTGAACCACCTGGTATATAAAGTGTTTTTTCTACAGGGAAAAAAATATTGTTTCTGTAAAATTCTTTGGAGTCATGAAATTTTGTCTAGCATATCTTGTCATGGTCCTGAGGCCTTACCTGGACAGGCGTATGATGAACTAATGAAGATATAAGAATGAAAAGAAGAAAAGAGATCACTGTTAACAGAAGCAGCACTAAAGACAAAGAATAGTGAACATACTTCAATGGCTTCATTGGTATGAAGCCAAGAAGTTGCATGTATATATGTGATTAACTGTGTTGTGATAGTGGTAGTTGGAAAAAATAATACACATTGGGCATTTGTCCATCATTATCATAAACCAGCTGCTGCAGAACAGTTAAACTGTGGCTTCGTACATAGAACAAAGCCTGATAAATAAAAGTGACATCTGCATATCATATACAGTATATGTATACATATATTATATTTTCTCACATAGACATCTAGTTATAAGTAAACCAACATTTAACTACAATTTTCCCCCCTTGGGCCCAGTGTCAAAGGATTTGATTTCACTTTTCTTGAATATGCCCTATACCTGGCTTACATGACATTTATACTCATGGCCTTATGATATCTGGCCAGCAAAAATAAAATGAAATCTCCTGGGACCTCAAGTCCATTCCTTACCACTCCAAGCATATTAACAAATATATAGCAAAACATATTTGTTTTCTGTTAGGTAAAAAAACAGGGTTGAGTACTCTGCTTGCTACCAAAAATGTGCACATAACAGTATAATAAACATAATTTCATGAAAATACTTAGTAACAAGATGCTTTATAAATATTTAAAGAACTAGGTTAACCATCAGGGTGACAACAAGATTAGTGTTCTGAAACTATCAGAAAAATGTACTTATTAAAAAAAAAAGAATGTCTCCTTAAGTGAAACATTAAATGTAAAGTCGTCTTTTTAGTGTACATTTCAAACTTCTCCCTTTGAAAGGTAAAGGCTTTATCTCTCCTAAATAGGGGCCTATAATTTACTTGGGAATTGGGTGTATTGCAGGACAAAAGTGGTAGGTGACAAGAGGTTCAGAGCAGTGGCATGATTTTCACAGGGTCTCGAAAAACTGAGGGCAGTTCACAATGCTGAATAGATCGATGACTTGGAGAAATACTGACTATATGTTAGCAGTTGGCAGGGCAAGATTGTACAGAACTCAGAAAAACCGTTGTAACTAATTCCTTCTTGGGGCTGAATCCTTTTGGAAGATACATTTTTAATCCTTCATTAGTTATTTTTAATTAACTGAAGATGAATTAAAATATGACAGGTCAAGAGTATGGTTTGGGCCCTTAAATGAGCATTTTATAAAATGGACCTCTCTTCCTCTTCGATAAAGTGAAAATACTCTGGTCATTGGAGATTCCTTCTTTGGGGATTCCCACTGGACATTCCAAGGATGTGAGGGCTACAAGAAAAATTTCCTCTGTGCCCAGAGGAAACTCAAGGAACCCAGTTCCCAGCTGCTAGAACCTTTGGGCCCACAATGCATACCACTGAATCCAAGCCTCTCTCTGATAGTTCGTGGACAAGGTAGGGATGACATGGACACTGCAGATATTTGAAAAAGCTTGTGTCTCAATACCTTTATGTTATTGGTATGTTTCTCTCCCACCATGTTCCCCCTACTCGGGGTTGGGGAGGTGAAGACTGCCTCTGCTAATACATGGTCTAGCAGGAGAAGAAAGATAAAGAGAAAGCAGAGAGAGCTAAATCACAAACTTTGGTCAAGAGCAGCAGCTGATTTTCACCCATTCCTGCTCCTCTCTCAGCCGGGCTCCTATGCGTACTGTCTCTCTGATTCCCATCATTTGGGTGGAGACTGCAGAGGTGCATACCCTGATCCAGGGAATGTGAGCCCTGGGGGCCAGCTGCCCTGTGTGCTTCCCAAGGGCCTCCTTCCCTTTTCTACACTCGAGGTCCCTGGAGCCCGAAAGGCCCCTTGTGAATGAATACCTCATATTATAAAAGGGCTTTTGGTTGAGTTTTAAAATTTTAATTGGCACAGTTTATTGTAGCCTAAGAGGGTCAGCAAGAGATGACTTCATGACTCAATTACAAGGAATACAACCTTTAGGATGTTCTTAACTTTTTATACAATAACTATATGAAAAGAATTTCTTATTCTACCTACACACAGCTGAAGATAAAGGTATAACTTCTGGAGTTGAGGAATTGATGGTAAGGAGAGAGAAATTTTAATAAAGAAGTAAGCTTTGATATGTGTATATACAAAGATATGTGTGTACACACACACACACACACACACACACACACACACACACACACATTACACTCCTCACCTGTGTTTGCTGTACAGGTTGGCACAATCCTATTAACACATTATGACATAAAGGTTTAAGGACTTAAGTTATTCTTGGCCTTTTAATCTAGACAGGGGCTTAGGTAATTTAGGTGTTGAAATAACTGGATCATTCATCTATTTAAAAGTGTATAATTGTGTGTTTTAAAAGGCCCAGACTGACTTTCCTTAAGCAGTAACCCAATATGACACCATAGTTACCAAATGGAAAACAAGATTGCTATTCCGTATTAAATCAGTAAAGGGTATTTCAGAGAAAGGACAACTTGGAAAATAAAGACTTCAGCATCTATTATCCCATGTTAAGAGCATTTTAGTTATTAGCAGTGGTTACCAAATAAGCTGAAGGTAATTCTCTTCAGGGAGCTGCTTATAAATTTGCTTTGTTGAGAAGAGGTGAGGTACCGTTTCTCTCTTCCTCTATAAGATGATGCAAGTTTTTTTATCTTTGAAAGGGTTTTCTGAAGTTGGTATCCCGATCAGCAGAGGGTCACTTCTGGCATGCTCCTCACAGTAGGACATCAGGTCCGCCGACGCCTTTGAAACCTGACATGTGGACAAACCAAAGCAAACACATAAGAAAGAAAATACTCTATTTACAAACTTTAAAAAAGAAGTGTTTGGATGCTAACCCATTGGGTGGAAGACTGTTGGAGAAGAGGATAACCCGAGTCTCAAAGTATCACTCCCAGGTGACTTGTTAAAAAGGGAAAAAGGTACTTTTACACGGTGAAATCTGGCAGATAAGGCCTTCCTGAACCAAGGGAGCAGACAAACTGACATCACATATCTCCTGGTGTGAATGAATACCCAGGACACCCCACCAGCTGGCTAGTGTTCCTGCCAAAACACTTTAGCTGGAATCTAATCATCAGCAAACAATTCCATCTAAAGTGAGTTCTAAAGTCAGTTCTGCAAAGGAAGTGGCCTGGATTCTTCAGAAATGAACTGTGTGGTAGATAATATTCTTAGCGGATTCTGAATGTGATAATTGTACTGTGGTTATATAGGAGAATGTTCTTGTACTTCGGAGAGATAGGTGGTGAACTATTCGGGGTGAAAGGTCACAATGCCTGCAAATATAATAACTTCCAAGTGCTGTAAAGAAAAAAATTATATATGTATTTTATGAGTATGTGTTTGTATAGATAGAAAAAGAGAGGTAAAACAAAAAAAGAGAGATAAAGCAAAATGCTAACAATTGGTGAATCTAAGTAAAGAATATATGGATATTTACAGAGTTGTTACAACTCCTTCATAGATTTGAAATTTCTCAAAATAAAAAAGTTGGGGGGAGGTGAAGAAAAGTATATGTGAGCCAAGGGAAGGTTATGTCTTAGATTTTATCCAGTAAAAAAATCAATTAGGATGCAGAACAGAGTTAATGAACCGAATTATGGGCTTGGAGCCCAAACTCTGAAAGAATAGAGCTAAATACTAACAGAGTTTCAAGATCAGATACGGGGTTTGGAGAAATCAAAAGAGCATGGGAAGATGCAGTGCCTTACTCTGGCATGAGTTAAAAGTGGAAAATGTCATGCCCTGTTCAGAAGTCTGGGTGGGCGATCCCTCTGAATAATCAGATCAGTGTCCTCAGCTGAACCCTGTCAAATCCAGCACAGGCAGCCTCATGTTTTGAAGACAGGTGACTATCTCCAGGCCCAGAGGAATTTATCAGGTGATTGCTTCAGTTTCTAGGAAACAGCATTACAACATTCCAGGACATTCACTCCTGGCCTAGTCCTCTTTTGGGATTTGGGGGGAAATGACTTCAAAGTCAGGTGACCTTAACAAATTTGGCCTTCCGGTTTCTTCCAGATCTCAACTAAGGCTGGCATTACTCACCCTGGTTGCAGAGCGTGGTCACTAAGTCCACACACATTTAATAAGCTCCATTTTCCTAAAAAGGAGACCCCTATTGTTGACTTGTTATGCAAGGCTACCTCAGCTGCACTGATAGCATTAGAACACTTAATAAATTCCAGAGGGATGACAAGGTGTTTATAAAGTCCATCCGGAACCTCTGTCCCAATGTAAAACACCATGGTCACAGGACTTGACCATATTCGTTCAGGGAAGGCAGGTCCTCACGAAATCCTGTCACGGGTTTTAGGTTTTCTGTCTATATAGAGAAGCTACCTCTGCCACTTTGGCTCCCCAGTGCTTTTGAGACGAGGCCTGGGCTAGGTAGACATGAAAGTTAAGATTCTGAGACTCAGCTTGCTCTAGGAAAATCCTGGCACCAAACTACATTACATAACATCACCTCCTCTGAAATGTGACCTAGCCTTCAGACAGCAGAGGGAACTGATCAGAAAACACGTCTAATCCAATCAAAGCACAGCTTACCTTTATTCTTTCAATGGAGGCTTCTAGTCTTAACTGCTGCACAGTTCTCCTTGCCTGGGTGATGTTGTTGGTGCTTGCTGTTTTGCTTGACATCTTCAGTTATGGTTTTTACCTGAAATCTGAAGAAGAATTTTTAAAAAGGTGAATAACAGTCATCTTTAAGTGGTTCAAATGTTCATAATGCTTTGCATTACCGTAGGAAAAAAGGGTGCCTGTTCCCAGTCATCACAGCCTTTATGAGGTAGTTACTGAAATGACCCGTGGCAAGACGAATGGTGGTCTGTCTAAGCTTGTTATCCATTTGAGCACCTTCATAAACCTTTGGTCTGCAGAAACCCAGTGCTAGTAGTTTAATCCATGCACCTACATATGGAATAAAGTAGCCTTTTCTAGGATTTTCTAAAGGGAAACAAATTCACATAAACATTTGCAGTAGTTCGGGGGTCTCCAGCAAACGTGCGCATGTGCAGCCAGAGGCCATGTTACGCGTGCAGCTTAACACTTCTGCTGTGTGCTTTAGTAGAAGGTTTGGTTGTATTTCGTTTTGGCTGTTTTACCAGCTCTTACACACGTGCAAGTCCCGGCAATAGAAAATGGCACAAGACTGTGTCTGGTGCACTCTGAGCAAAGGGCGTGTCTTTAGGTGCTATCGGGGTTTGCAATCGTTGGGAGAAAGGCAGGTAAGGAAGTCTTTGTTCAAGAAAACGTGGGAACTTTTCTGCTGTCATACTCTCATTGATAGACAGATCCACAGTGAATGTCAAATAGGATACACTGAACAGCCTGAAGCCTGACATGCTTAATGAAACTATCACCCCCTCCTTTGACCTTTCGGGCCTCATCCTGGCAGCCAGGGTACTTGCTAATCCTGGACCCACCACATGTTAGGCATTGACGCTCCTCTCTGGCCTGTGCCCTTGGACTCCAAGCTGCCCTCTTTATTCCCAGCTACTAGGTGAAAAGCAAAGGAAATCTCCTGGACCTTGAGCTTTGACCCAACTGGTTGTCCAATGGCACGTTCTAAGAGGAGGGTAGCAGGGGAAGAGTGCTGTCTGGAGTCCCTGCCACATATGGCTAGGTTCTCTCTCGGCATGGTGGCGACTGGAGGAAAAATGCAGAGCTGGCAGGCCTGGCAGCAGTGTGGCAGTTGTATGACTCATAGGAGCAGGTGGACTTTAGGTGTGCCTCCTCGGCACTATGCAAGGGCTCAGCAAAGTCTCGGGGCACCACGGCGCCGGCAGCAAACCCAGGCTGACTCAACTTTCTGGAGGGCCCTCAGCTGCACAAAGCATACCTGCCATAAAGGCTCAGGCCAGACAAGGCTGCACAAGACACCAGTGACCCACAGGCTCCACCATGCCCACCATGTGGGCAACACGGCATTCCGCCCGAGTCCCACACTTAGAATGGTCCCAATGGCTGAGTTCACAGGCTTGCGTGGGGCTTGTACACTCTGAGGTCAGAAGCATCTTTGGGTGAAATGCACAAATAAAATGGTGCTTTTAACTGTGTGCAAAATTTTGAAATCCAGCCTAATTAGCAAGCTTCACATTCCTGGGTTTGGACCCTGCCTCTGCCACTTACTAGCTAGATGAAACCCGGAAAGTTACTTAACCTCCATGAGCCCAAGTTTTCTCATTTGTAATATAAGGATACCATGGTTTTTGAAGATTCAATTTGCTGATGCACACATAGTGTTTAGCATAGGACCAAGACACTCCAAAAACAGAAGCTGCTATTATATTCATCCTGGGTGTGTGTGTGTGTGTGTGTGTGTGTGTGTGTGTGTGTATGTCAGTGTCACACCCAGCACAGCAAACTGGAATTCCCTTGTACCTGTCTGCCTTCCCCTGGTTAATAAGCCTCAAGGGTTTTGACTGACTGGGTCTTGGTGGTCTATGGGCACCAGCTCTTTTTGTTTTCTTCTTTTTTTAGAGTATCCCAAGGCAATTCGGCTATACCCTAGTATCAGGGGGGCAGAGTGGAATGGCTGGTGATGGTCAACAGAGGATTCCCATAAAATAAGGAAGCTGTAGCAGTGCAGGAAACTGGGAGGACAAATTATGGGGCAGGGCAGGGTGGCCAAGCGTGACCTCGTTTCAATACACTCCCTGACCAGCTAGATGCCTCTTCCTCAGATTCCTCAGGCATCCTGCTCCACCCAAAGCAGAGGCCTAGGATCTCCCGCTGGTGATTCTGCTCACACCCAGAGGCCTGGCCCAGCCCCTTTCTGTGCATCCAGGCAGAAGCATATTAACACAGCATTTGAAATGGGACCCAGGCCGCAGGCAATCTCACTGTGAAAAGTATGAAGCCCTGATTCATAGAATGTTGGTTCCATGTTTTGTTCCCTTTAGGACCTTAACCTGGGCTGCCTGGCCAGCTGGCGCTGGCTCTGATAGGCACGCACCCCCAGCCTCCAGAATGCAAACCTGACACCCTTTCTGAGCAGCCTGTGGTTTCCAGGCTGTACCCTAAGGCATTTCTAAATGTTCCTTGTGCATGAGAATATCACCAAGTATTCTCCTCCTCTTTTCACCCTCCAGTGCATACAGTTTCCAAGGCCTGAGCAAGTTTTCCTGTAACTGCAGAACAGTTCACACATATCAGGACTGAATCAGTCACTGCTCCCATCCACAGGGCCATAAGCAAAGAGTCCATAGTCTGGTTCTATTTATAAAATGTTTGGGTGGGTCCCTCTGAAATTGGCAAGAAACTTTGCACCTAGTACATGGAGGACTTTCTGACTTCCTAACTGCATTATACTCACAATTGAAAACAGCAAGTCAAAATGCACACTTGCTAGCTAAGGGCTTCTGGCAGCTCTCCCCTAGTCTGTATCTGTGTTCTGAGCTGCCCCTTCGCAGAGCGCCTCCCCGTCACCCAGACAGCCTCCTGCTTCCCTTTGCCACTGGCGACCCCTTTATCCTCTGCTTCTGGTAGAGTACCAGCCCCTTCTGCCCTGCCAACCTCTCTTAGGCTCCCAACTCAAATACAATTTCTCTTCTCAGAGAATAGACTCTCTTACTATAACATTTTTCCAATGGAGAAATCAGATCAAAATTATATTGTTGTAACTTAAAAAGTCTCTTGGAGGAACTCAGTCTGCTGAGTTGCCTCAGGTCTATGCAAGGAAGGTCACTGCTGTTTGATTCTTGAGGGGTAAGAGGTGTTTATAGGGGCTGAAGATCCAGCTCCTATAATTTCCTCCCAATTTGCAGCTGCTTTGCATCTCAACAGCTGGGTTAGGGCAGAACCTGACAGGGGCTTGGGAGACAAACATCTCCCAACATCTGTGCACCTTCAGAGGGTTTTTTTTGGTCTTCCCTCAATGGCAAAAATGTCTGTCTGTGCTACTAGGTGGATAAAAAGCTTGCTTTATTCTTACTCCAAGAAAAACTTCCAAAGCAAACAATACCTGCGATTTGCATGGAACCTGAGTGCACATGGTGCATTCATACGAATTAGTCCATGAAGCCTCGCTATAATCCCAAAAGGTATACTACTACTATTGCATCCTTGTTTTATAGATGAGGCAACTGAGATCAGAAAACTTTGCTCCAAGTTAACCCAGCTCATACAGCTTGTAAGTTAAACCAAAAACTTGCTCCACATTAAACCAGCCTGTAAACCTTTTCACCCCAGCAGCCATATGTGTACTTCCCACTGTACCAAGGAAAGGAGGCAATTCCAACTGCTTTGACTCACAAACACTCAGGGCATCATTGAACCTGAGTCCACAATGTGGTTCTTAAGCAAGGATGACCTAGACACTCTATGATCTGGAGCTGTGGGGCTTGCCGATTGTCTCATGTTGGTGCAATATCCCTACTTATGCAGAAGGCATCTGTTTGTCTAATGCCCTGGGGGACAGGCCTCCTCTCTTCCATCTGCAAGCTAAGCAAGAACGTTCTGGCTGCTGCAGCTAATAGGCAAGGCCTGAGGTTAGCTTCTGGAGATCCTGAGCCACCAGTGCTCTCTCCCGCCCAGAAGGGCCAAGGCCTGTGTGTGCCTGGGCAGACCCCTAATTTGATAAAACTCTGGCTGTCACTTCCGGAGCCTCGTTTTTATTTTTACATGTGGCTAACAGATTTGAATAAACATAGATCATATTTAGCTATTCAAGTAATTTGCATTGGTTTTAATGCTGTTGTTCATTTGAATTCTCAGGTGCCTAGAAATTCCTAGGAACAAGAGGACCCATTAGGGAAATATGGGTATTTTAATCTTTGTCTAGAAGGGCCTGAAGCAGGGAGAGGGTGGAGAAGGAAAGAGAGTTACAGAGTACACTCTGGGAGGAGGGGACCAGGAAGCCCGGGTATCTACATCACAAGTCATCACGGCCTGGGCAGTAATTGAATCATTTGAGGAAAGCAAATGTTCATGTTCATGAGTAAACACATCCCTTGTGGCTGTAATAAAAGAGCAGGCAAAACAAACAAACAAACAAACAAACAAACACAAACAAAACAGCAGGTTTCCACCTACCCTCTGATCTTGCCTTTAACTATCAGCATATTACTCTAGCTCATGGTCTGTTCCCTCATCTGTTACAGGGGGCCAGCAGTACCTAATCTCATGGGGTGGTTGGGAGGACAGATAGGTGCGCCTTATCAGTGATGCACCCTGTACGTACAAACGCTTAGTAAATGCTGGGCCCCTAGGCTCATTACAAGACAAAAACCATGTATTTGGTGGGATACAAGAAAAATTCAGACAGCAAAAGAAGAATTTCAAGGCAATGGGGCCAGGTAGCAACATCTTTCTAATAAGGCAGGAAGTGTGGGGTGTGCAAAGCCAGACCCTACAGAACCATTTTTCTAGTCTTATGAACACTTACTATTTTCTACCGGAGCCTGCGGGCTGAATCCCGACCGCAGGTGTCTGGTTGGGCCCCACACAGGGTCAACTCAATAGTATCTGTGTGTGCTTTAACTTTAAATTATCAACATTTTAAGCATGATATTTCACTTTAATAGAAAGAAAGATTTCTGGAAAGATCAGAAAATTTTATAGAACTGGGCAGGATCTGAGTAGTGGCTGGCTGCCCCTTTCACACTTGCTGGCATACCTACTAGGCCCTCTATTTGAATGTGTGACATGGACTTTATAGTAGGCC